ATGATGATGATGATTTATTTGTTTATTTATACATACATACATACATACATACATACCCCACCCATCTGGCTGGGCTTCCCCAGCCACTCTGGGCGGCTTCCAACAAAATATTAAAATACAGTAATGCATCAAACATGAAAAGCTTCCCTAAACAGGGCTGCCTTCAGATGTCTTCTAAAAGTCTGGTAGTTGTTTTCCTCTTTGACATCTGGTGGGAGGGCGTTCCACAGGGCGGGTGCCACTACTGAGAAGGCCCTCTGCCTGGTTCCCTGTAACTTGGCTTCTCGCAGGGAGGGAACCGCCAGAAGGCCCTCGGAGCTGGACCTCAGTGTCCGGGCTGAACGATGGGGGTGGAGACTCTCCTTCGGGTATACCGGACCGAGAATCCCTGCTCTTGTGGGGGTGGGGAGAACAGGCAGAGGTGGAATTCTGCCCCCTCCCGTTAAATCCCACACAATGTCAGGGGCTGTGGGCTAAGCATGTACATCACCCTCATGCCCCCAGGGAATGTGTGACCAGTGTTGGGAGACAGATCGTTTTGGCAATAAGAGACGGAGCTTTCACTGCTGAAGCGATTGTAGGGCTGTGTTGGAGGGGAGAATTAAGGGTCACAGGGTGTGGTTCTTCTGTGATCCCATTCCCTCTACTCTCTCTCTCTCCCTCCCCCCTCCACACCGATGAATCTTAAGACTGTAAGGAAGAGCCCAACTGAAAAGGAAAAAGCTTTCATCTAGTCCAGCATTTTCCTAATTTAAACTTAAGGAAGCATGCCATTTGCTACATGCCAAAATCGAAAGAATAATGCCACTTTACAATAAAATTATTTTGATAATTGTTAGCTATGGCTTTCTTCTAATCCTTTGTTCCTTTGTTGTTGTTGAGACTTTTGTAAATGTAGGAATCTCGTAACAAGATTTGTCCTTCACATAAATATCCGTAGTGGACCACTCACAAAACCATACACACACATATATACACAGTGGTACCTCAGGTTAAGTACTTAATTCATTCCGGAGGTCCGTTCTTAACCTGAAACTGTTCTTAACCTGAGGTGCCACTTTAGCTAATGGGGCCTCCTGCTGCCGCCGCGCAATTTCTGTTCTCATCCTGAGCAAAGTTCTTAACCTGTAACCTGAGGTACCACTGTATACACAGGGATGCAGGTGGTGCTGTGGTCTAAACCACTGAGCCCCTGGGGCTTGCTGATCAGAAAGTTGGCAGCTTGAATCCCCGCGACAGTGAGCTCCCATTGCTCTGTCCCAGCTCTTGATAACCTAGCAGTTCGAAAGCACGCCAGTGCAAGTAGATGAATAGGTACCACTGTGGCAGGAAGGTAAACAGCATTTCCGTGTGCTCTGGTTTCCATCGCGATGTTCTGTTGCGCCAGAAGCGGTTTAGTCATGCTGGCCACATGACACGGAAAGCTGTCTGTGGACAAACGCCAGCTGCCTCAGCCTGGGAGCGCCGCAACCTGTCGCCTTTGACTGGACTTAACCATCCAGGGGTCCTTTACCTTTACCTACCTACCTACCTACACACACACACACACACACACAGAGGCTGGCTTCCTCCAATTAAGTGAACAGGGAAGCCACTGCAGATCAGGAATCATTCAATTTTTCAAGTGGACTATGTTGGGGGAAAAACACCTGCTAGCACATTTGCAAAGCTAAGCAGAGCCTGATAAGGTTTTAAACTGGATGGGGGGACCACACGTTGAGACCTTCATTGCTGGGGTTGGACTAGATGACCCTCAAGTTCCCTCCCAACTCTGCAATTCTATAACTCTTAAGCAGCTTTGCTGCCCATCGCAGGGCAGCATGGTAGATAGGAGTGTGAGCAGTGCTTTGGCAGTCCCTGGTTCAAAGCTCAGATCAAGCAAGTCACTCTCAGTCTCAACCTCCGAATTGCAATGTGAGAACGACTTGGGAGCTGTGAAAGTCCAACTTCAAATTTCTCCAGAAAGGATCCATCTGAACTGGATGTGTCAAAGGCAGCAGAATGGCAGCTGTTCAATGTAAATAATGCGAGAGCATGTTGCATACACCAACAAGGTCTGAGCTACTTAGACCTCTGGACTAGCCAATGAAGCTGGATGTCTGAAAGCCTAGGACAGGCATCGTGCCTTGGGGCACCTGGTTCACCACTTTGAGAAGAGGACGTTAGTCTAGACTTAAGCTCTTAAGTTCTTTCACGTCAGATGACTTTTAAGAGTTTTAATCAACCCCTTGAAGAAATGAAACAAGTGTGTTATTCCAAACACCTGGTTTACTGGGCGAAGAGGGAAAATTGAATCACTTTCTGAATGGCTTCCTCCCAAAGCCAGTTTAGACTTAATGGATGAGAAACATGTAAGCAAATGTACTTGCTTTTGTATCAGCAAGCTGTTGGGAACATACCCTCAAATGGGGGGGGGAATAGGTTTATGCTAATTTCCCATGCTGCAATGCCACATGGGGTATATCTTATAGAATGACTTGAAACACCCTTTCCAAGGGCTGAGTTAGCAGGGGATTGTGTGGTTATCAAATAGCTGTCAACACTCAAGATATCACAGCAGCCTCGGGCAATAACCCAGAATGGACAATCAGTTTTTAACTGTAACTGAGAACTAAGGAAAGGGCCTTTTGCCAACGAACACCAGAAAAGGACATTACCACTGTGCATGTTTCACATTTTATCCTACTTCTGCCAAGTCAAATTATGTAGGACCCCAACTCACAGGAGTCCTCTACCTCAGCTACTGCTGTAACTGCATCTCCCTTCATGCTTCAGAGATTTTGCAAGGTCCTCCTCCCTGCTGAAGAATCTTTTTAACAAAGGTTGCTGTATTTCAAAAAGTGAAAATCTGGACATTAAAGTTGTTTCTTCTTCTTTTTTGCCAAAGCTGTTGTCATGCCCAAAGTTATTAAGCTTTCTTTTTGCAATATTGAGTGTTTGAGCTGTTTTTAATGAAATTCGCCAAAATCTACACTTCCCGACGCAGGCTGCCATAATTCTGAATGTTCCCGGATTTGTGCGATTCCCACCTGGAAGCTGTTTACGAGGGCTGAATACAAGCTATGTATAGGAAATTCCAGACGTATGGCAACCCTACTTTTAACAGCTGCAAACATGTTTACCTAGCTGAAAGCAGGTTTTTGGGGAGCCCCTGCTGGAGGAAGGCAATTCTCTAATTCAGTTATTTACATAAAGTGTAGGGTCACTCTTGAAGGGTGGCTAAATAACACAACTTTAAAATTACCCATAGTGTATATGCCTCATTTGCTTTTTTAACAGTTCTGGCCCACAAGCCTGTTCCTGCCAATACTCTGCCCACAACCCATATGGTAACTCACTATAACCCACAATATGTTCCCAAGTAAGAGTTGAACTGGTATGTGGCAGATTACAAGAGGGGCACGTTCCATAGCATTCACAAGTCTGCTTTAACATGATATATACAAGAGAGAAAACAGCTTCGTGGACTACTTCTTTACTTCAATATGCAGGAGCTCAAGGAGGTAGGAAGGGAACTCGTCTAGTCAAAGCGGCTACTCAAAAGCAGAAACTGACGAGTGCAAAGACCATGAAAGGCTTTATTCAGTATGTATTTGGTTATGGAGCCCAGCAAGATGGAACAGGCAAAGCATGAAAACCCCAGGAAATAGTTAAGAGATTTTTATTCTAATAGCTTTAATTACAGTGCTTGTTTGTCGAAATGAAAACTGAAAACAAGTATACAAAACAGTTGATTACTGTGTATTGAAAGCAAATAAAGAGATTTTCCACAACACTAAACAAACCAGTTCTGATAGTTCCTCAAGTTAAAGTTTAAACAGCTCCAGCTTCTTCAGTGTTTTATCAAAATACAAAAGAAAAAAAAAAGTTAAGAGGTCTTCTTGATGGCAAATCTGAACCTTGCAGTATGAGGGATGCGAAGGGGTTTCCACACATATACAGATATGGGAGTGTTCCAAAAAATGGCATCAAACACTTCTAGAATGGAATGAAACTCCAAACTCTCATGCTTTTAGTATTTCCCCCCCTAAACATTACATTAGGTGGCTTGGATGGCATTTCTTACTTAAGTACAGTACTTGCTGATGACAGAGCTGAGCACTGCTATGGGCTGCTGTACTCTGTGGAAATAATTTGTCTTCTGGAGTACTGTAGTTCTACATGAGAAAAGTCCAAAACACTTGGGGAGGGGGCGACAAGAGAACAGGTAAAGGATGGCATCCAAATTAGACGCAAGAGGAGAAAAACGTTCTTGCCCAAATCTGAGAGAGCACTAGAGGGTCATAGTGTTTTACACGTGCGCCAATTTCTCTTAAGTCTGTGGCCTGAACTGAACTGAACTCTGACTTTAGGAGATCTCACATTCACAAAAAACACAAAAGAGGTTGTCAAGCACAGGAAGATCCAGGATGCTGCCCATTCCATGGACCTATAACATGTTAAATTGCTGGTATTCAAGTTGTTGCAGAACTCACAATGGACATTTTGTTCAAGTGTTTCAGCTTTCCTTCTTTTCTAAAAAAGAAACTGACATCTCCAGGCTAAAAAATAGCCACCAAATCTGGCCTCCCCACAGACCTCGCAAGCCAAGAGGGATTGTATTCAGCTCTAGCGTACAACCAGACAACTGGCAACTTTTCTCTGAATCCACTTCAAATCCCTTCCCCAGTACTAAACAGCGAGTTGATTTTCTTTATAATAAAAAAGCTGAGTAATATTGCATAGGAGTACCAGAAACTGTCTCATTGGAAACAAGAACTATTTACATTAAATAAGAAACCTAAACTGTTTTCAGGCTTGGATTTGCCACATGTACAGCATGGTGAAGGACATCCTGTGACAAGAGAAATGAAAACAGCTTCCGGCACTCAATACCACAAAGTAGCATGGTTTGCCACGTTAGAGTAAAGCGAAGGGTGAAGGAGGAGGAGGAGAAGGAGGAGGAGGAGGAAATAAGGAGGGGTGGAGAAAAGAGGGAAAAGAAGAGTATTTTTAGGGCTTCATTTCTGGTTTCGGAGCTGATTGGACAACCAGTCCAGTCCTTCATAGAGACCGTCTCCACTAGTGGCACAGGTGGCCTGGATATACCAGTTCCTGTGGCGAAGAGAATGCAGTCCTAGTTTGTCTGTGATTTCTGCTGCATTCATCGCATTAGGCAGGTCCTGAAAAATGGAAGCAATTTGCTTTAGAAAATGGATTTTTGTTTCCTTTAGAGAATTCATAGGAAGAATCTGCAACATACAATTCAAATGTGGCATAATGGTAAGATGTTGCATTGACCATTAATCTGTGTGATCTGGACTACGTTGTGATATAGACAGAACCAGATCTGGTTCCCTGAGGCCAAAGACATCCTTGTGCTCTCACATGGCTTGCAACAGTAGCAACCCACCCTTCTCAATCCAGTGAGCACACAGAAGGCCCATAGTACAGATCATGATGAGAGTGGCAATTTTGAATCTGGCCGTAGATGTAGCATGCAAAATTCCTAAATTGTCTGAAGTGTGGTGGAGAAAAAGTGATGGAAAAGTGAGACTTGTAAAGGCAACAGATGCTCTGGGATATTCATATAGTCCTCTAAATTCATACTCTGACCGATATTGTTGGTACATTTAAACCCCTACATAATGGCATTGTGGTGCCACAATTTGTTTGGAGGTGCAGCAGTTCAGGAAAGTCAATAAAGAAGCACTTTTAGCATGGTAAAATCGTATGTTTTGTGTTGCAGGGGAAGTCCTGGGGGCTCCTTAATGCAACTGTGTCACGCAAGAGACCATATATTTTACCTCTGAAATCTGTCAGTAATATTATTTTCAGCCCACTGCCGACAGCAAGGCCCACAAACGTAGGCATAACCAATAGAGGGTGACTGGAAGGTGAGAACTCTTACAGCCCACCATCACAACTGGAGGCGAAGGGAACCCTGGGGTACCATTCTGGCTGTGCTGTTCACGATCACCTACCTGTTTGTTAGCAAACACTAAAAGGACAGCATCTCTGAGCTCATCTTCTGCCAACATTCTCATAAGTTCTTCTCGGGCCTCATTGACTCTCTCTCTGTCGTTACTATCAACCACAAAGATCAAACCTACAAAGGAAACAACAGTTGTTTACATGGACAGGCATGGAGACAGAGAGCCTTTCTGAAAGGAAGTTTTAAGTATGGAACTAGATCTATTGTCATAAAAATATGTCTATACCAATAGGCACTGGCAATCTATAATGTAATTTAAATCAAATTCACTAGTTACGGGGCTAAAGCTAGCCACACAGCAATCAAGTAATAGTGAACTATGTGAAGAAGCCATTTACTCAATTTAGAAATCAAGTATTGCTTTTGATCAAGCCAATGGATGTATATAATCTTCTGGAATCTGCTCAAAGTCCAAGGCTATAACAATATCAAAATGATGAGATAATTCTGGGCATTTGCAAACAAGGTAGGAAAGAATGAATAGGAACCCTTTAAATAAGATTCTTGGGCTGTTAGAAAGCTGTAAGAAGCGCCTACCAAAATTCTGCATGCTAAAGCCACAGATGAAAGAAAAAAAGACCAATATTTAGAGAAGAACTGTTTAACATGATGGGACTTGTGTATTTTTTTACCTCCATCTGTCAGTCAACATATCCTAAGGTGGTGCTATCTAACCAAGTGTTCAAGAGAAGCCATCCTATAGCTAAGATCAGCGCTATTGCTGATGTTTCCATCAGTAACATGCTGATGCAGCCAAATTACAACATACTGGAAAAGCTACTTAAAATAGCTCACCTTGAAAGTGCTTTGATATCTATATGGAAAAAAGTCACCAACTTGAGACCTCGCACAGCTTCATTTACAGAATAGGCATGGAGAAGCTATATGACATTACTACATAGGAATATATGAAAGCATGCCCTCAACAATCTCCTCTTAATACCCAGATTACTCAAGAAGGACAGCAAAATGCTCGTTGAATGCTTGAGATGCTACCAAAATGACTGACTTTCTTACTTACCAGGATAAAAGCCAATGTCTAGTATTTTACTTATGAAAAGCAGCCTGTAGACGAGGCACAATTGACCACCTGAATTCATGTCCGAGAAAACATCTGACTCTTGACTTCCTGACCTAAAGCTCGCTTTAGTGCCATGCTGCTGCTGTGGCAAGCTTATTACACATGTGCAGGTACATAGGAAGCTGCCATATACTGTAAGTTCATCTAACTCAATTTTGTTTACATAGATTGGCAGTGGCCCTCCTGGATTTCAGTCAGGATTTTGTCAGCCCTACTTAGATACTCCAGGAAACGTAACCGGGAACCTTCTGCATGCAAGGCATGTCTCTACTACTAAGCTATGGCTCCAACCAGAACTATGAAGGATTCATAGACACAGCAAGTATGGTGAGATGGTTTTCTGTGCAGAAACAAGTATATCATCTTGTTTTTCCAGTGATTCTGAAACTTATGGTCACAACAACGTTGACACCATAAGACAAAGCAGCCTCAGCAAGGATTTCAGAAGCAGTGAGACAACAGCCAACAATGTCAAGTTATGTGTCTACATCACCGATGCAGCAGCTCCTGTGCTTAAAGGTAAACTGTGACACATGCTGATCTGTCATAGCCTTTGCTAAGTCAGCCCCGAGGGCTAAAAAGAGACACTCATAAAACAGATCCAAGATTTAATGCACACAGCAATAACTTCGCTAAAAGATCATGAAGCTAACAATCAATAGGCCACCAAGTGATCTGAAAGTGGTTTTCATTATACAAATTACATACCCTCAGTTACAACATGCTAGCAGATTTAGAGAGTTGCCTTCAGTTTTCCCCGGACTTGTTCTATTCAAAACAAGGGACACTTGGCTAGTGTTGCTGACATGAACACCCAAAACGGACCAGTAGTCCATGGGTTCAATTTGGCCCACAAAAGGCCTTCAATTATACCCTGGGGTGATATGGAGGAGTTACACACAGGTGCACAGCTGCTTTAAACCAATGTATGGCCAAATCTACTGCAGAAGCTAGAGAGGGGACAATTGGGCAAGCTTGCTAGGCACTCCTTTTGTTTGGCTGCCAAACACTGACACAAAACCTGAAGCCAACACTGACCATGTACTGACCATGGCATACTACTGGAGCTTGTTTTTTGTACATCCTGTGGAAAGGAATCTCATAGAATCTTGAGATTAATTTTTGGGAACACAGAAGTTGCAGAAAGAATCAGAAGACTGACATGTATCTAGCTCTTTACTGTTTGACAACAGCTCTCCAGGGTTCCAGATAGCAGTGTCTCTCGATCTCCATTGGAGATTGCTAGGGACTGAACCTAGATTTATTTATTTTTTGCAGGCAAAACTATGGTTCTGATTTAGGGGAATGCAACTGTTGGCATACTTGCAAAGAAAACACTCAAAATGCAATTGTAAGGGTTATGTCACATATGTGAATGAACTAAGATAACCTAAGCTGGCGCAGAATGGAGATGTCCTAGCTTGATACTTGTGCTAAGAAAGGACTGTCCCTACTGCAAGTTTCACATTCTGAATGACAAAAGTCTGTGGGACAGAAAGACCTAAAGACATATCCCATCACACTCAGTACTAGACAGGTAGCTGATATGTTTACTTCATGCTATCAACATAGTTATGGAGTAACTGAAGATGCCTGAGTGGGTCTCTATAAATACAAAAAAAAAGGATATGGTCAGTTACAGAAAATAGCTCACCTTGTGTATTCTGGAAATAATGGCGCCAGAGTGGTCTGATCTTATCCTGACCACCTACATCCCACACTGTGAAGCTAATGTTCTTGTATTCTACAGTTTCTACATTGAAACCTGAAACAAAAAAGTGGGAGAAAAGTTGAGCAGTTAACAAGTGAAACAGCATGCTCATCCACATAACCTAAACTAAGGTATAGAAGGAAATTGTTGAAATCAATTATATGCTTCTTACCCCCCCCCCCCAAACTCCTGACCAACTGGTCCACATTTTAAAAGCCAGTCTTAAAATGTATATTCAGAATATACACTAATACCCCCCATCAAATATATACTTCATAAGGAGCAAACAGCTTATTTAACACAGATTTTTGCATCTGAAATGGCAATATCAGTGAGCTACTATAGTCCAAAGAGCTGAATTGTATTGAAGACCACACTGAAAACATATTGCCAAGTGAAGAGCCACTAGTAAGTTAGAATACATAATTGCACCTAAATATTATTCGCTTGTCATTTTCAAAAGCATACAGGCCAAGTTTCACATATTACAGTGGTATCTCCAGTTGCGGATGGGATCCGTTCTGGAGCTCCAGCCAGATCCTGAGGTTTCCGCAACCAGAGGTTCTGCACATGCACACAGCGCGATAGAGCACTTCTGCACATGCGTGAGCGGCGAAACCTGGAAAAATACTTCCAGATTTGCCGCTTTTGCAACCTGAAGTTTACATTACCCAAGGGTAATGTAAGCCGAGGTTCTACTGTATTTTGCAATGTTTCTTCTTTCAAATGTTTGCCACAGGTTTTTAAAGGATTTACAGGATGACACCTCTCCTATGGCTAGTTTCTCAATTTTAAAAAGAAAATACAACTGACCAATGAGATAACATATTATATATCACAGCAGATATTAACCAAAGCAACAAAAATGGCTGTAGCAACATCTTAACATTCATAGACATTGTCAACATTTTCCTCCCTCTACTATTCCAGCATTAGTCAAATCCTTTCTTGAAGAGAAGCAAATTAAGAAATATTGGAGTTGTATCTTGTGCTCTCTAAGCAATGAGTTGTAATGGATCTATAAACATGGTTAGAGCGACCAAATGCTTACTTCACCTGGGTAACAAGTGCATCATCACAGACATATGCAGACCAACCATATGCAAGTTTACTCAACAGTACTGTCAGTCTGTGTACAATTCCAAACTTTATCTACTTTTAAATATGTTTAAAACAGTCACATATTTGTAAAGGGAAGCTGCTTCACATCTTACCTATAGTAGGGATGGTAGTTACTATTTCACCGAGCTTAAGTTTGTACAATATAGTAGTCTTTCCTGCAGCATCCAGCCCGACCATAAGTATGCGCATCTCTTTTTTGCCAAAAAGGCCTTTGAAGAGGTTAGCGAAAATATTTCCCATGCTTAAGTCTGGTGCTCACTCACTGGCCAAAGAAATCTAGGAGAAAATAAATTCAAAACAGTTAGTTCTGTAGTGTGATGATCACACCCTGCTCAATCCTTAGGAGTAAAAGCCCCCTGGAACCCAGTGAGATTTATTTTCAAGTGTTAAGTGTGAAAAGCCACCTCACAACAATGGAGGCTCAATACAGAGCAGAAGTTTTTAAGAGTGTGAACAGGGATTATCGTATTTTTCGCTCCAGAGGGCGCACCAGACTATAGGGCGCACCAGACTATAGGGCGCACCTAGTTTTCTCCAGGCTTCAGCGAAAGCCTGCATTCGCTCCATAGGACGCACACACATTTCCCCTTCATTTTTGGAGGGGAAAAAGTGCGTCCTATGGAGCAAAAAATACGGTAGATTGGAAAGGTCATTTTCAGTGGTGGGTTATCAGCTTTGGATACTGCAAAAAGATCAACAGTAACAGATACTTTTAACACAAGACACACAAAATGGGTTTTGTAGGAGAAGGAGACTTCAAGTAGTATGACTATCTTGGCCAGTTTGGGGGAGGGGGAGAGAGAGAGAAGAAAGAAGCTTGAGGAATTCCCACTATCCAGCTTGAATGGTAGCCCCTCCCTCTCCCATCACAGGGCCTCCTGCAGAAGCATTTTGTTTTGAATTGAGCGAGAAATGACAACTTCTTCTAAACAAATGGTCTTTTCCATTCCACTGTTTTATTTTGTTTTGAATCAATGCTTGTTGTTCAAGAATCTTACATAAACTTTGTGAGGTCTGCCTGAAAAGGGTTGTATGGATACCTTAAATGAAAAGTTTGCTACCGTAAATGCTTTTCATATTCTTCAGTATATAGTATTCTAGAGAAACCATTCAAAGTGTACAGTGGTACCTCGGGTTACATACGCTTCAGGTTACACACTCCACTAAGCCAGAAATGGTGCTTTGGGTTAAGAACAGAAATCGGGCTCCGGCAGCGGGAGGCCCCATTAGCTAAAGTGGTGCTTCAGGTTAAGAACAGTTTCAGGTTAAGTACGGACCCCCGGAACGAATTAAGTACTTAACCCAAGGTACCTCTGTACAAGAAACATATTTGTTTATACTACTGCTTCTCACAGATGTGAACATGAAATCTTCATTACGTCAAAACAAAGAAAATGACCACTGGAGTCGGATTTAGATAATGTCATGTCTATTTCACAACTTATTCCTATTGATTTTCAAGCACTTTTTATTTTGTAACCAAACCTTGTAACAAGCAAGGCAAGGCACCAACAAAGGAGCAGTAGGGGGAGGACACCCCCAAGTTACTCTGAGATAATATAACAAGACTGTATTGACAGTATTGTCAGCTACCATGGAAGTCTTACAACTCAAAATACATTTGTGAACCTAAATATACTGGATTGTATCAAACCAAGCAGTTCCATTAGCACAAGGACTTCCACTTGTGCACTAGATCTCCCCCCCTTGTGCCCCCACCATGACAATTTGCAGAATAAATCTGGGGGCCACACAGGGGGAGGAGAGGTTGTGTTGCAAAGTCCTAGTGCTAAAATGACTAGCATTCAGGTTCCAAAATGTCTAAGTAAAAGCATAATGCTACCAATTTCCAGCATTTTGAAAATTGTCATAAATATGCTATAGTAACAAGGAAGTTAGTATCATTAGCAGGAATATCATAATAAAAGATTATTCCACTTTCCTTAACGGAAAAAAAGTATCAAATGTGCCTCACTAATCCACACCACACTAGGCACCACTTCCCCAAAAGTAGGATTGATTTGATAATTCAGAGATGGAAAAATCAGATTCCAGCAGCGCCATTCTTACACAAAAGGGTAAAACACTATTTCAAAATTCCAAAAACACACACAAAACAAACCCCAACCCATCATCAGCAGAGACTTAGGCAACTAAGCTCCTAGGGTTCTCCCTCCACTCCAAATACTAAAAACACTTTAAAAAGCTGGGGGGGGGGAGGTGATGGCTACTTGGGGAAACAGCTTTTACTTAGCTACACTTGGCAGACATATCGACAGCTAGCACCATGGTTCAGGCACACGAGAAAGAAAAAGGAATTATATATTGGTAGCCATGTGGATTTTAAAGCACTTTCTTAGAACAGGATCACTGCTTGTCTTAAAAAAACCCATTACCTTTATTTAGCAACAGATTTCACTGTGGCAGCCAAAAAGAACATTTTATATACAGTGAGTCAACACATGGTTCACACCTTTATTACACTCACACACACAAAGATCAGGAGTAACATCGTGACTAGTTCATATTAGCAAAGCAGCTTTTTCCTACAGTTTCAGTCATTCTCTCTGTCACCAGAGGAACAAACAACAATCCTTATTTGGTTAGAGGAAGGGCCTTGTAGGAGTAAAAAACAAGTCCTGCTTTCTGGCCACGGTCTCCATGACAGCTTTTAACTCTCTGCCTGCACCTTGTGAAGGTACACAGCCCTTCCAATGCTCTGCAACTTATAAGCAAATTCACCCATTTTCTCTTTTGCTCCACAACTAAATACTAACCTAGCAGAAAATGCAATTATTTATATTATTGTAATAAGTATGTATCAATGTTCTTAGATCACTGGGAAGTGGCTTTAAATCAAACTCAACTATGTTATTCTGGGACATCACTTTTCTTTTGAAGATGATGCCCTGCTTATAGCATCTCTTTCAGAAATTAACACAGATGCCAAGAATATTCCATGTTTTCTTACAAAATATATTCCACATGCTTGCTAGGAGTGCTCCAAAGATAATCAATCCATACATTTCACATTTCAGCTTTGTAAATTAACACATCCTATCAACTTTGTTAGGACAAGCTGACAGTATAACATGGTAGTCACACAATGTTCAGTTTCCTGCAGATCACTGTCAACACCACTCAACAGCTGCTAACTGCATTTCCAAAAGTATGACTCTCAAGAATGCTTCAGGAAACAAAGACACCTCAAAAATAACAAAGAAAAGATTGATGGCCAAAATTAAAAAAACTGCATTATCGTCACAGTTTTCTGCTAGAAGCTTAAATATTTTGAGATTAAACCCCTGCTTTTAAACATGCCAGACACTAAGCACATGATATGAAACTCATGAGAAAACTGCACGTACCAGGGGCTCAGTTACCTTTGCTTCAAATACCACCAAAGATATTAACTTTATGCAGCAACAAAACTGAGAGAGCACCACTTACCTGGTGCCATGATTGATGGTATAAATCAACTACAAACATTTAGGTGAGTAGCTATTAACATCAGTTCAGCATAGAGTACAGTGTGGGAATCTTTCCTAGGAACTTCTATTCACTGCCACACAGTGAATTCTAACTGCATGTACCCATGCTTAGATCAGAGATGGGGAACCTGCAGCACTCCAGGTTCCATCAGCTCTAGCCAGCATGGCTGTATGATACAGCTCAACATTTAGAAGCCCACAGGTTCCCCAGCCATGGTTCAGGAAGAAGCTGCATGCAACACTCTTAATACCTGACTACTGTGTGCCCATAATAGCTTATTTCACACAGTGCATACATATCAATGTATAGTTGTGTCTAAACTACACATGAAATCTTTGTAGCTCAATTGCCTCTGGCTGTTTACAGTATTTAAGATAACATCAAAACTAAAATATTTATGCATCACAGCTGTGTGTACGTTTATACTTAAAATCTCAACCCATAAACTCTCAAGTAATTCTACAGACTTCAGTAAGACTACTCTGGAGTTCGAAAAGACTAATTTTCAGGTTCCAAGGGAACAGGATTAAATAAAAATCATTATTATGCAATAGCTCATTCCTGCATTTCTTGACCATTTTGGAACTTTACAAAACTATAAATTAAGTGTTAAAATAGTGCCATGGAGATACTGGAGTACAATATGCAACTATTTCTGCCTTTCCCCAAACATTTCCACTGCCTTTTCACCTTTCTTCCTACAGGTCCAAGTAACCATTTCTCCTACTTATTCTACACAGTGGTATCGCGGGTTAAGTACTTAATTCGTTCCGCAGGTCTGTTCTTAATCTGAAACTGTTCTTAACCTGAAGCACCACTTTAGCTAATGGGGCCTCCTGCTGCCGCCGTAGCACGATTTCTGTTCTCATCCTGAAGCAAAGTTCTTAACCCAAGGTACTATTTCTGGGTTAGCAGTCTGTAACCTGAAGCATATGTAACCTGAAGCGTATGTAACCCAAGGTACCACTGTACTTTGTCTCCCCCCCCACACGCCTCATGACTACCAACAGCTTTCATTCCCCAAGAGAACGTGCAGAGATTTTTGTATGCAGTTGTGTACCTTCAGCCTGCATGGACTACAAATACAAGATGGGCATTAGAAAAGGAATACCTTAACTTTGAAACTACACAAACTCACTAGCTAGCCAAGCTAGGCAAACCAATGTTTTCAGTATCATGTGCTGCTTGCTACAGAACAATTCCCTTGTGGTCAAGACTGTATGCACACATTAATCCCCAACTGAGACTTACAGGTTCTCCCCACAATTATAGTTGTGCTTTTCAAAAAATAAACTAAAGAGTGCTTCAAGATACTAGCAGTGTCCTGGCTGTTCATGTAAGAAGTGTAGACTGGCTAATGTGCATGGATGTAGCACAAGCATTTGTCCTATTTAGAGTTGGCCATTTAGCATCCTTTCCAAGTCCCTTCATGACGAGGCAACAGCCACCAACACATATACTTTATTCACTATACCTTATGGACTGCAGGCCAGTGTGAACTTCATACAGGGAAATGTTATTTCATATTTAGCACTCCCTATAATAGCAGACGTGCATGTATATCCATTGCATCCAAAGGAAGAGTGGGGTGAGGAGACTTGTTCAATGGTACAGAGCCCTTTATTCTTAAAGAAAATACAGCAGCAGGGTATTTTAACACCCCTTGCCTCCCCTCAAACATCAGTCCTGTTTGCCTATGTGTACTGCCAGGAGCTCCCTGGCAGTAAGTCTCTGGGTCTCAAACATGTTCTGCTTTCAAAGTCATAACAATTAGTAAAAGAGAACACACTGTGATATCACTGTGTGGTTGAGTTTCCTATTACTGCTTCACTTGCTCATTTGCAGGGGCAGGGAAACCATCCAATGACTCCACATTCTGCGGTCTTTACTAGCTGTTACAGGAAGAGGAAGATATTTCATAGGGCTGTTGCTTCTGGAAGCATCTACCTATCCTGCATGTCTAGTTTAGTCCCAAACATATATTTAAACAATTCTATAGCTCTTTTAACACAATTTTTTGGGCTCTTGCACAGGAAGGCAGATTGCTAGATACAGATACATGGTGCAACTCTCCACATTAAAAAACAACCCTGCATGTTCCTTGAACATGCCTTCATTTGTGACCAGCAATGAAACCTAAATGGATTGCACCTAGACAAGCAAAAAGCACAAGCAGCACACAGGCCTAGAGCAAAATACTTTTTCGCAGTAAATGGCTTAAATATTAAGCTGCATTAATTGTTACTCAGCACGGAAAGGTACTGAACTGTTTTTAGTGAGATTATAAATCAGAGGAGGAAGCAAACAATAGTGTGTAACACTACTGGACTGTGATGCCTATGAAAAAAGAATTTGAGAATGGAAATATTAGCATGTGGTATTTCACTTCTTCAAAAAATTACTTAGAAGTAATATTGTTGGATTTTTGCATACTGCAAGAAAGACTGCTGAATAAATTTTAAAAGTTGCAAAAGCTGGAAGCTTACTAAAACTCCTTGTCTAAAAGCTGCAAAAAAGGGGCCCAAGTGGCATTTCAAGGCTGAGCAGCTGACATAGCAGAATATTCAAGTTAGTAAAAGGAATTCCTGCAGATCAGTTTAAGGGAACGTCACTTTCACATTCTATTCCGACAGTGGCCATAAGGCATAATCACAGTTACTCTGATTAGATAATGTTAATACTGTACTGAATTTTTGTCCTGCAGAAATGAAGGCAAGATCTACTCACTGATATGTCTTCCCAATCATATGCATGGTACATTACAGGTAAACACCACCCAGGGAACAACACTCACTGCATTTAAAGCCCCATTCACCTTCAGTGCAATTCTATACATGTTTACTCAGAACTATGCCAGACTGAGTTACATGGTGCTCACTCCAAGCTAACTAGGTATCAGATTGTAGCAATTCAGAAAAGAATATCCAGCTGTTCTCCAATCCTATAAAATAACCATGTTTTAAAATGAATCCTAATTAGACCATACATGATTCAAAGTCTTAATGAAAAAACAATTAAGTCATAAAATATGTTAAAATGCATTTGAATTCGAAACAAATAGGACAATGATAGAGACTCTTACTGTATCAGGGTATAAGAAAAGCAAACGATTGCTAACTGCTCAGACAATAAATGCCCCTGAGCTAGGGTATCAAGATTCCCCCATAAGGACTATTTCCCAGTTTCAAATGGGAAGCAAGCAGCACTTAGCCAGCTATTTTAGGTATGACAGTAACACAGGCATTCATATTTTGTTCTCAAATGATCTCTTTCTACAGCACTAGATCTCTCATAGCATGAGCATATTATATCTTGCTTACTCAAATAAGTCATGGAGCAGGTCAAGGAGAAGTTTAATTGAACACTTTCATGACAAATTATTTTTGTCATGAAAGAATTTGAACTTTCAATATTACCCAGACAGTGGGAAAATGTACTAGCTTCAATACCTAAGGTGTAATTAGATTTAAAATTAAGATTAATACAACAGAAAATAATATTTAGAGTTTATTGGACCCTTTACGGTTGTATAAAAAAGGTTAGCTAAGATAGCTCAGTGTTGGAAATGTGGCAAGGAAAACATATTTGTACAGTGTTCTTTACTTAAGAAGTTTTGGGAGAAAGTGCTAGACTGTGTAACTATGACTGTGCAGAAAAAGTTAAATCTTTCAGAGGAGAATATTTTATTGAACTATACACCTGCAGTATGGAAATTATCAATGGGACAACGGAAATTGATTTTCTGTGCCCTAATGTTGGCCAAGAGATTGATATTAAGGAATTGGAAAAATAAAGATATGATACCCTTCACTCAATGGACTGATATGACATAAGTGGCAATTTATGAACATGCTTACAGGCGCAGACTCTGTATGGATAAATACGATAACATTTTGAATGAGTTTATACAAAATGTAGTATGCTATTAACATTTACATAAGCACTAGGACAATAGTACTATACTAATTTATGCAAGAATGTATGGGAATATCATATACTGTATTGCTTTTTGTGTATATTTTCACTTTTATATGTTTCTCGTTTTTCTCCCTCTCACTTTTCCTTTTTCTGTATCACTTTATTTCTTTTAACTGAAATCACCTTAATAAAATATAAATATTAAAAAAGACAAATAATTTTTGCAAATGTAGTGCTTAGAGTAGCCGAGATTCCCTCCAAAGGTAGGCTAATCTGCAAAAAAATTAAAAAGCTTAGTTATGCATTATTTGAATGCTTCCTTTTGTCCAAAGGATGGACTTCACGCAATGCATACATACCTTACCTGGTTGGCGCAATAAGTCACTACCTTAAAAGTGGTTGAAAAAAGGATTAGAAAAAATTCATGAAAAGCAAGTTTAGCAATGACTAATAGCACTGACTGCTAAATAGGACCTCAATGTTTTCAAAGGCAGCATACCTTTGACCCTAGGACTCAACAAGCAGCAGCTCATATGGTCAGTTTGTAATCTTCCCAGAGATCTCTGGCTGTTCCACTATTGAAAACAGAATGCTGAAGAGATGGACATTGGCCTCATCCAGCAGGGTAATTATTGTATGGCATCTGCTTGGAGAATTAGAGGCACAATGAACATAATTTCCCCCCATACAAGTTTATCATACATGAGCTATAAAGAAAGAAACCTCATTACAACAAAGGGGTATTTAATGCTTATACTTCCAACCACACAACATGCTTCTTCTATAAAGTCTAAAATAAGACTAACATGTATTAAAAGTGCAATTCTGGTGCACATTATCTTAGAAACTAGGCAATAAATAAAGAAATAGAAACTTCACTGAATTACGTCATAATCTGAGACTAATGATACCTGTAAGAGATAGCACTGCTTTATAACAGGGCTGATTAACCACAGGAACAAAGGTCTGATAAAGTTTCTCAGCAATTTTTTTTGCACCACCTCCCAAACCACATGGATTTTGGAAACAATGGGAAAAGCAAAAGAAAAGACAGCATGTGGTGGGGTAGAGAAGTTACTGTCTAGAGCAGAGGTAGTCAAACTTTTTATACCTACCGCCCACTAATGCTTTCTTGATCGTAAAATTTCCTTACCACCCACCAGTGCTCGATGGAAGGAGGATTCAGCTTGTGCCATAGAACCCACTACCGTGGACCAGGTTGACAACCCCTGGTCTAGAGGGAAGCTTGTGTGGTGCTGTCATGTCTTCAGCATATTTGTTTCCCCAAGGAATTTGGATAGCACCAGTGGTCTGGCATTTGGTGGCTATTATATGTCCATTTATGTGTCGGATGTGGTGTGTGTCAAACTTAAAAATAAATAAATGGGATAAGCACTGCAGTATATCTGTTCTGTACTGCTATTCATCATTCTTTTGATAATATTTTTATATTTAGATCACCTTTCCACCTAGGAGCTGAAGGTGGCATATATGGCTCTCCTCCTCCAATCCCCCCCAGCAACCCTGCAGGGTAGATTAGGTGGAGACAATGTCTGGCTCAAGGTCACCCAGTCAGCTTTATAGCTGAGTGACAATTTGAATCCTGGTCTCCTAGATTTAGTGCTTTGGGACTTCTACCTGTTTTGTGAAGAAACTGACACATGTAACTTAAAGTAAACTAATAAACACCTTAGTCACCAGATTGATAAGTGATACAATGATGACAACTCCTCCTCTTTTGATTTGTGTGTCTGCAAGTGTACGTGCATACTGTGAATGTGTGCGCAGAATATGAGGGTGGAGTGGCCACATCCACCACTGGCATGTGGCCAAGGGTTGGAAACATGTGAATGCCTTGGGCCAAAAAAGATCACTCACACTCACTTTTTGAGGAGTGTGGAGTACCTTGGTAGGAACTCCACAACCACTTCAACAGTTAACTTTTTTCTAACTTCAGAAATAATGAGTGTTTCCAGTTAAGGCTTCTTGGTGTGCCCAACCCAAGTAAGAAACTTGAAGTTGAAGACGACAACCGACAAGGTCAAAGATAAACAATGAAGCTGGCTGATTTTATGGCCCACAAAGTTTTAATACAATGATAAGTACAACCTCATGCTACGGTGTAAGCTGATACTTCCCTGAAGGAGTTTGCGCAACAGACAGTGCCTGTTCCCTTGTGGTCGAAAGGACAGCAAAGTTCTTATGGCTGACTAATCCAACCTCCCATATGACAATGTAATCAGTGTTAGAAACTAAGTTATGAAAGTTAGGAGCCAAATGGCAGGTTATAGGTGCAACAAGGGAATGTCAGGCCACAGTTTTTAAATAACAAGAATACAAAGCTGAAAATGAATGAACTGCAGCTAAAATATTATGTTCATTTTTCACAGGCTCTAGTCCTCCCCCTGCCCACCCCCCTAATACAGTGGTACCTTTGGTTACGAACTTAATTCGTTCCGGAGGTCCGTTCTTAACCTGAGGTACCACTTTAGCTAATGGGGCCTCCTGCTGCTGCCGCGTGATTTCTGTTCTCATCCTGAGGTAAAGTTCTTAACCCGAGGTACTACTTCGGGGTTAGTGGAGTCTGTAACCCGAAGTGCTTGTAACCCGAGGGGTTTGTAACCCGAGGTACCACTGTATTCTTAAGATGGTCTCTTCCCAGTCTTCAGAGAGTAGCCGGAAGCGGGGAGGCAGAAAAAGGTCCTCCTGTCCTTCCACTCTGCAGTTTTAATCTGAAATCTTGGGTGCGGGACTGCTCCCAGATCTCAGAAACTGCTTGCGCTAATAAAATTCCGTCGCAAAATGCGGCTAGAACAATGGGAGTTTCGAACACAAGAACAATTCTGTTCTAACCCTGCTCCAGCCAATTAACCACTGAATCCCCCAACACAAGGACTGTTATGTAAAACAACCTGTAAAGCGTTTTTCATCACCCTCTTTCACAGAGCTGCTTAGAAGCTGCATCTAAAGAAGTTAGTCAGAAGAAAAAGAGAGAGAGGAAGGAAAAGTCTGCCTTGTTCTTAAACATGACCATATTCCTTTGAATGAGCCAGCACCACACCAACCTCCTATCAATGTTCATTCTGGAATATATACTATTTGTTCACTGAAGATGTACAGCCAATTTTCCTCAACAAGCACCAAAATAATTACCTGCACCTCCCCTACACACTACTCACAAGCAGTGGAGGCCTTCAACACTCTCTTACAGCCTTAATCCTTTAAATATAGAAAATTAAGCACCACAGTACATGTGAATACAGGAGTGTGGGTAATATTCCCCTGTTTGCACAATATACCCTTAGGTTCAGATACAGGGGCAAGAGTGGATAGATATACACTAGAAAAGGAGGGAGAAACAAAACTGAATGGTTGGGAAAGCTGAACTTCTCTAATCTGGATCCTTCCTTATTCTGTAGGTTTGACCCAACACACCCAAAGAATGCACAGAAACACTTCCTGGATTTTCACACACTTACTTCTAAGCTATAGAGTTTAAGCTAAAAACATAAGCTAAACAATGTTTTTCAAGGAAGGGAAGAGGTCTGTAGAGAACTAAATAATTTAAACAGTATTCATGAATGGAGGACTAAATGTATTCATGTAGTTTATTAAGAAATAAAAACACCACCAAACACCTAATGTTTCATTACCAATTACAAGGCATACATAATTAAGAAAGGATATTGACCAGCATTTACCTGGTATTCCTTCACAGCCAACTTGGAGCTACTTATTCAAAGGGGCCAAGGAGAAAGGCATGCATACCAAACCCCTTCACTGGAGAAACCTATTGCCCTTCCTCATTCCCTCACAGACACACTGCGGTTCTGTCACTACCATACAAGCTGGCAAAAAACCCAAGTAACTCAATGAGAAATATTTCAACTGAAATTGTTTTAGCTAAATATATAAGAGGATGGATTGTTGCCAGTAGAGTGCATCTGGCTGCATAGACGAGCTGTGCCAATGAGCTCAGGACTGCCAATGTTGTAGTGTATTTCGGAGAGGGGGGGGCCTATGAAATAATTCTATGGAGCAATGAGACTGCTTTATGTGTCTGCTGCATAAAGCCTCAAATCTCAACCCTGAAAATGGTATCATAACCATTTATCCCCTGGAAATGGGGGACGAAGAGGAGCTTTCTGTTCTGCCATTTCACACTTTTTCCTGCACTTGCGTAACTTTCTGTCCTGCTGATGAAGTCACCAGTGAGTGACTAAGTGATCAAAATCTGCTTCCCCACCCCATACCCAGAAACCTCGGGATCTACTACAGGAGACGAAATAAAGGGAGGGAAGCCCTGTCCACCTATCCTCTATGTACCCCAAATGTTGAGATCACAAACTTATTGGGGGGATGGGATGGAGGTGTTGCACTCAAACAACAACCCCAGGGGCTCGAACTAAGCAGCAGGTCACGATGGGGTGTGCCCTCATAGTTATGGAGGTTCCCCTCCTTCTAAGTGCAGCTAAAACTAAGTAGACATGCCTGTCAATCCTCAACTGTTCAGTCAAGGAGGGTTTTTTAATTTTTATTTTTAAGCCTGCTACTTTAGGAAGGAAAGGAAAGCAACGTGAAAGCGAGTCGGGGAGGAGGGTGGGACGAGACATTCCTATACATTTCTAAAAAGACATAAAAATAATAGTAATAATTCTTAAAGTGTTTGAAGGAAGTGCCCGGCGTAGATTGGGGCGAGTGCGGGGGGGGGGGAGAGAAGAGAGGAGATATGACCACAAGGATAAACAACTGGCTGTTTACAATATTAAAAAAATAATAATAATACAACGAGAAGGTCTTTGGGGGGGGGCAAGAAGGGCGGGCGAAGGAGGCCTGGTTGCTTCCTCGCCGTGAGCCGTTAAGGTTCGATGGTTGGCGAGGACGGCGTTCAAGGGTGGGCCGTTCGGCTGCTTCCCGCGACTCTCCAAGGAAGTCTCCCCTCCCCGCTTCAGTATTTTTCAGCCTCAGAAGGGCCTCTTCCCTCCCCCCCCCGCCCGCTTCCTCCGCCGAGGCCAAGCCTGCAGTGCGGCCTGCGGCTCCGCTCCCCTCCCCGGCCTGGCGCTGAAGGCCAAACGGAGGAATGGCAAGAGGAGGGCCGAACCTCCGGGTGGAATTCCTCGCCATTATTACCACCCTCCCTCGCCCGCCGGCCGACCCTGAGCTAGGCCCAAGCGCCGGCACCGCCCGGCCTCTCGCCGCTTCCCCGCCCGCCCTCAGCCTAAAAAAAGCAAAGCGTTGAGGGTTAGCGCTGCTTACCGGGCGGCGTCTCGGTCTGCCTCGCTGCTTTGAACCCGGGGCTGCTCCTTCCCTGCGTTTTTCTCCTCTCTCTCTCTCTCTTTTTTTGCTCTTTTCCTTCCCCCCCTCCTCCCCGCCTTCCTTCTTTCTTCCTCCCTTTTCCCTCCCTTCTCTTTCCCTCACTGCGCCCAGGCACACAAGATGGCGGCTCCCGGCGGCCACGTCAGTGCCAGGGAACCTCGCAATGCACGACGGGTAAGCAGGGAACGGCTCCCTCTTTCTCCCGGCCTCACTCGCTCGCTCTGTGCGTGCGCGTGGGTGTCCACCACCCCTCCCTCCCTTCTTTACCTCACGCCGCAGAAAGGGGGGCGAGAGAAGAGAGAGGAGCGCCGGAGAGCAGGAAGGTGGAAGGAGGCAGGGGGCGGGGCTTTGGGAAGGGCGGCCAAAGGAAGAGCGTCGCGCGTGCGCCAAAGGGAGGGGGGAAAGGCAGAGCGGGCGAAGAGGGCGGGGTCACACACGCACACAAACCACAGGGGAGCAAGTGGTGGGGGGGGAAGTGTAGTCAAGGGGAAGCTCTAGGGGAGCATGCGCGCTCGTACCCTTGGCTCGTGCCCATGTAGACCGTTAGAACGCCGGCTGGGTAAAGCGCGCGCCTCTTCAACGGCGCGCGGCGGTGGAGGTCGCCCGGCGACAGCGCGCGCGTGCGCGTGCGCGCTTTCTCACGCAGAACGGCAGTTAGCCTCGCGCTCGAGAAAAGAGGCAAGGCCAGAACGCGGACGAGGGGGCGGAGCCTTGTTGGCCCAGGCGGTTCTCTTTGCCCCGCCCCGTCGTCGTGAGGCGACCGGGGAACGTGGTTTCCCTCAGAATATATGCAATACTGTAGTTCCTCGCGGAGAAATAAGCTTTCTGCTTACTCTTTAAAAAAAACAAAACGTGTTCTGTCAGTTTTAAGCACGTGGGCCCAATGCACGCCTCTTAGGAAGCATGTCCCCATTGAATTCAGCGGAGCTTCTGAGTCGAGTAAACAGCCCCACCGCGTCCCCTTGGACGAGTGTGAGGGAATTTATTGAAGATTTCAATACAGGCTGCCAGGGCCATAATGCAGAACAACAAACCCGTGTGTTGCAAACTAAACACAACAAACAATACAAGCAACACGCAGACCAGTATACTAGATATGCCATAATGCAGACTGCCATAAAACACACATGAAGTAATGCCGCAAGGACAAAGCAACAGAAGTAGAATATGCGAATATTCCATGGTTGTGTAGTTGGGGTTCTTTAAAACCACAACATTAGAAGCTCCGCTAGAAAGTACAGTTTTACCTCAGACCAAGAAAGGATGCCAGCCAGGTTAAGGAGCAGAGTCAAAAATGTTGCTGAGGGCAGGAAGCCTTTCTGTAGAAAACAGAAGTCCAAATGAGAACACAAAGGTACACAAACTTAAAAAAAGTGTAAGCAGACAGCAACAGGGATGCTAAAAATAGAGAAGAATTTGAATAGCACATTCAAAGACCATGAAAATATTACTTAAATGCATTGGTAGCAGGAGGTGATCTAGTGAGGTAAATGGATTACAGGTGTGCTAAGGAAGGAGAAGCTGAATGAATTATTTGGATGTGTCTTTGCAGCAAAAGAGTCTGAGGAACTGAGGCAGATAGTGGTGTTGAGGTGTTTATTCTACCTTATTGGCAGAATAAAAGCTGACAAGTTGCTGGGTCTGGAAGGCATTCGCAAGACAGTTCCTAAAAGAACTGTCAAACGTGAAATCAAATGTGAAATCTAGGACTGGGAAGTGGCCAATGCAACTCAGGCCAGTTTGCTTAGCAGAAAACTGGTGGAAATCGCTTGCCAAGAACAAGTCTTGCTGAAGTGGAACCAGCATGGCTTCTGCAAGGGTAAGTGCTGCCTCACTTAAGATCTTTGAGAGTGTCATCAAGCGTATAGGTAGATAAAAGTGATTCAGTTGACATGGTGTACTTAGCCTTTTGAACAGCCTCTGACAGAGTACCTCACCAAAGAGTCCTAAGTAAGCTTAGCAGTCACAGAATAAGAGGAAAGGTTATCTCACGGATTGGTAATGTTACGAAACAGGAAGCAGGACTATCTTGGCTCAGAGGCTTCTAAGATTAGCAAATAAACAAACACATACGGTATATTTCTTCCTACTTCCTTGAAGTATTTGCAAAACTCCTTTTTGGTACGAGGTTTTCTGTGTGCACACCCCACTATGTTCCATTCACAGCAACGAACATGACATAGGTGCTGTGTTTGGGTAGGGTCATTTGAAGTTCTGTGCACATTCACTGTTTCAGGACCTGTTCAGAATGAGACGTTTCAATTAAACAAAAAAGACACATTTTTAACATAAAGAACATACAAGCGCAGCCAAACTTCTTGTACTTGCTGTAGCACACAGGTAAGCTAGATCCCACACGTTGTCATCAGAACTACTATGTAGGTATATGTTAGAAATCAAAGGTCCGGCTTGCTGACTGTCGGTCAAAAGAGGCAAGATGGAATCAATGGAGCATAGCTTTGCCTAACTCTAAAGACCCTAAACACTAAAGTTGATTGAAGAGGGCTTTGTCAGTAAAACTGTCACAATGCTATAATTGGAATTGTGCTTACATCAAATTCATACACTTCCTGACCATAAAAACCCTCAAAGCAGTTTATAAAAAGGAAGAAAAAGAACAACACTTATTGAAAACTATTAATGAGGCTATACAGTTAAAAGTGATACATAAACCATGGAATGGGGCAAACTTACAACTGATCCTCTAAGTTTATTGAAAGATGGATTTTATCCCCAGTAGTTTGGAATAGCAAGTAACCATTTCCCTCTTTGTTATGAAAGAATTCTCCTTATACTTTATTCTTCTTTGCTTACTAATTTATTCCTTGTGTAAGTGAGTTATAGATTTTGTGATTGTGCAGCAATGTATAATTGGGGTGTGTGTGCGTATGTATGAAAAAAGAAGATGATAAGGATATACAGAGAAGAAAGACACAGTAAAAAAAAGCACTTGCTTAATTTCTTCACAACAAATTACTGCACTATGAAAGGCATACAAGCAAAATAACTTAGCAAGAATATGTTGGGAGATTATTTTGCATTCTTGCACATTTTTCTTTATAATTTGCTTGAGATCCTTCCCTGTCAGCAGTTATGCAGTTATCCATGAGATTTTAAAACATTTTTTAAAGAGAGAGAGAGATGATCAATTATAATGGTGGATACTCTAAAATTACATTTTCAAGCTTTTCAGCTCTGTGAATCAGACACATCATTTATTATACAAAGAAACTCACAATAAACTCACACTAACAGTCAACCCATGGGAGCACATGAAGCAATCTGTTCTGGAGTCTGAGAGAGGGAATCTGTCTTTATTACAAAGTATAATTTATGTGGATTTTATATTTATGGGATTGGAGTCTGAGCACTTCAGTTTTATCTTCTTATTCTTAAGTTGATAAGCGACACATTCTAGGAAGACTCCTGCCTTAAAACCCTTAATCCCTTCTAATATTTAAGGAAAAAATTCATTTGCCTTGTGTCGCATTTTATGCCGGGACATGCATTTCTCATATTTTTTCTTTGATGTCTGGTTAATGTGACTTATTTTTTAATTATTTAAAATTCTAAAGCTTGCCATCTCAATATTGGGAAAAGCTGTTTGCGCATATGTATCAGTATTGTGTCTGATGCTGTGACTTTGCATTGCGGTTTGTAATATCTAATGCACTGGGTTTGGCTCTTTCAAAGCTAAGAAGCAGCATGATATATTTTAATATGTATTATATACCTGTGGAGATTATAGTCTGTCGTCCTTCCCCTAAGGGTAACAGATTTTATGGTTTAGTAGGTCATTGACATCTTTAACCTCAATGACTCTACACAACACAGTGGGAGAAGATTTTTAAATGTCAACACCAGGAGTGGGTCACTCAACTTCCACTGATTAATTCCTGGAAGTTAATTGTACAGTGTTCTACTGTTAGCCTTTACCCTTCTGGGAACATAATTTTAGGTTCTGGCTCTAATCATAATGCAATGGACTCTGTTCTGTATACCTTAGAGAACAAATGGCCAAAGTCTCTCTTACTGGGCATAACTCTGTTTCCAAGCAGCAGTCTGTGGACCTGAAACAATACACCCCATATGCCTGTATTTACTCAGATGTGTTCTTTTCACTGAATGGTCTAGTGTCTTATAATAAAGTTGGTGCAATCTAGTCATTTCTAGTGTTTCTTAGGGATGCATGTATCACATGCACTTGAGCTCAGCAATACAGTAAACACAAGTAACATCATCATCATCATAATAATAATAATAATAATAATAATAATTTTTTATTTATACCCTGCCCTCCCCAGCCAAGGCCGGGCTCAGAGCGGCTTACAAGCAACAATAAAAACAAGATGAATGATTACAACTTAAAAACAAAAATAAAATACAACATTAAAATAATGGAACATTAAAATAGTAAAATGTAGCCTCATCGCAGGAGGAGAAGGAAAAGAAAAAAGAAAGGGGGGGGGAATCAAATTGGCTCCAAGCCAAAGGCCAGGCGGAACAACTCTGTCTTACAGGCCCTGCGGAAAGAAATCAGATCCTGCAGGGCCCTGGTCTCATGAGGCAGAGCGTTCCACCAGACCGGAGCCAGAGTTGAAAAGGCCCTGGCTCTGGTTGAAGCCAATCTAACTTCCTTTGGGCCTGGGACCAAATATATATATTATAAAATATATATTGTGTGGAAAATAATAAAGATAGATAGATGGTTTACTCTGCTGTCATGAAGCTCTCCCTTCCACCGACCAAACAGGCAGTAGGGCAGAAAAAGAGATTGCTGCTGGCAGCAGCTGGCCAAAATGGGGCTTTCTCCGAGGCAGGGAGGTGGTGGGGCTGAGCCAGCCAGTAATCTGTTGGATCCCAATCTGGCCCTGCTGCTGTCATGTGACAGCAATTGTTCCAGTTACTGCACCACTCCTGCTCTTGCTACTACTGGCTCTTTATATTTAACTCAGAGTTGGACCGGACTGCCTTCCAAATAAAGAACTGTCCTCTGTAAAGCAGGGCACCTTAGTCCAGTGTCTTTAGTCCCTTGGACTTGGAGTAAGAAAGTCCACCCTGGAGCTAGACTAGCACACCCTGGTATGATTATGCAGCTCTTGGCATAGCCTTATATTCTGGTGATGTCTGACCTTATGCTCATGTCTTGACTCCTTTCCTGCATTTTTCTTCCTTAGTTGAAATTCATGCATTGCAGGTGGTTGGAGTAGATGAGCCTCAGGGTCCCTTCGAATTCTCTGATTCTTGCCAATACTTTCTCATAGTTCTGGTAACTGTGACTTCTTTTCATAGTGACATTAATACAGAGGTGTGACTGCTGGCTTTAATTAAAACTGACAAGATTCACTACCTTAGAGCAGGTTTCTGAGAAACACATTTACTGCATTTCCCCGTGTATAGGACAAGGTTTTTTGTTAAAAAAAATTAGTAAGAAATTGGGGGTCGTCTTGTACACAGAACATAGGCATCTGGGGGGATTTTTAAAATATTTAAGCATACGTCTGGGACTTTGGCTTGGGTGGGCTGAGGCGGTCCCTCCTGCTGCCGTCCCCCGGGCTGCATGCTGGTGACTGGCTCGCCTCTTGAAGCCCCCACTGGCTTGACCACCAGATCAAGAGCTGCTGCCGCTGAGAACTACCTCTGCTACCTCTCCTTACCCTTCTTTCCTTCCCCCCCCTCTACCCCTCTCAAACTCCCACCCTGCCCCCAGCCCGCTCACCACCTTCCTCAGCAGAGTTTGCTCAACGGCATGGCCCAGCGCAGAGTGGCCACTGCCTTCCCCTGGCTCTTCCTTGGCATCCTGCTTGGGAGCCTGCTTCCCTTTGCTTCCCTGCAGCAGCAGTTGCCACCTAGGGGGAGCGTGTGGTGCCCCATTCGCTGCCTTTGCTTCTTCACCACAGTGCACTGCATGCACCTCATGCTGGAAACTTTAAGTGCGGTCGCCCCCCAAAAGATCAACAACTTGTCACCACCAATCATCCAGATTTTCACTTCTATTTTAAGACTTCATTTTCTTAATTTTGGATTCAAAAAAATAGGGGTTGTCTTATACAAGGAAAAGTACAGTATGTGCAAAGAAATTTCCACAAAATTAGATCTACGGTACTTAAACATTTTGTAGATCTAGCCATTCCTCTCCAGTTTTTAATACAGAGCTGCTTTCTGGGATCATTAGCTGCTGTATTTCCTGCCTTTGCAATTAAAATAGCTGTGGTAAGGGACCAAAACATAACCCAATTGTTGTTTTTAAATGTCCATTGTACTTAACGTATGTTGGCCTACCTTTGGCACAAATGCAGATACTGCCAGGAACAAGGCAGCTGGCCCAGATCCCAAAGTTATGTTGTCTCCCACAGTGGTTCTGATTTCTGGGGACAGGGGCCTGAAATGCAGTGGAACAGCAGACCAAACTTCATGGATAGGGTTCTTCTAATGAGTTGAATCAGCTGAAGCCCTGCGTGAGAGCTTCTGCTTGCACAATGGGGCTTTGCCACCTCTCCTTTCCCTAGCACCCCCAAAACAGTTGGCTGGGGCAGGGGTCGGCAAAACCCCTAGAACACCACACTGAGGGAGGAGAGGAGGTTTCTTCTATCTGCAGGCTGCAGTACCTGTGCTGTTAGGATGTTCACCAGAGCACATTGTTGAATTCCACCCCATAGTTTGATCCTAGATTACAATCCTGATTTGGATGAGTTATTTAAACCACAGTTTGCAGTTTGGTTGGCCATGGGAAACTCTGGTTTGAGCAAACCTGCAAGTCTTCTATAGCTACTACCCATGGTGGCTATGTTCCACTTCCATTATCAGAGGCAGTGGGCCTCTAAATACCAGTTGCTGGGAATCGCAAGTGGGTAGAATTAGGGTTGCCATATTGTTGCCGTACGTCTGGATTTCCAGGGACATTTCAACGATTTCTGCCTAGACACTGTTTCCAACTGACATATTCTGGCTATGGCTGGAAAATTTCGGATGTATGGCAACCCTAGTAGATTGCTATTGCACTCATGCCCAGCTTGTGTGCTTTCCAAAGGCATCTAGTTGGCTATTGTGTGAACTGGATGCATTTTAAGGTGCTGGCTATATTTTAACCTGGCTTTTATCCTTTGAATTGGATATTGGATGTTAATTAAAGTCACGTTTTTCAACATTGTGTTTAGGGAGATGTCCACGTGCCCAGGATACTATAAAAGCAGTAAGCCTTTATGATACCTGCCTTTAATTTTCGACACTTCCAATGGTATTATTCTCTTGGAATCAAGCTTTGGAATAGCTTTTTCTTTCAACAAACTCTCTCTTCCTAATATTATTATAGTTTTTTTCTTTGGAGAGAGAAACATTACTGAAGACCTCACAGTTCTGAAAACTACAATCGGAGCTTTAAAATGCTTTCAATGTGGTGAAGTTTTGGCTGACGTGTGGATGCCACCCTTAGTAATTAATTATATTAGTGGTTTGTATGTTTGTTAATTCCTTATGGGGAATATTTTTACAGCTATCATCTGAGAAAGTTCTTCAAAATGGGACCTTATCTGGACGTCTTTTGTCAGTTGCTTAGAGGATTCTTCAGTGATTTTTGCACTGTATGGTTCTTTGCAAGCCTTGCACTTGTAATAATATTTTGTCTATTTTATTGTAAACTCTGCAACTGTAAAATCAATACACAATAAAAATACATAATACATAAAATACACGATAACAATTCCACCAGGGCATTGATACTTCCTTAATTAAAATATGTAATATTTAATAATAAAAGGAACGATTAAAAAGCTTGTCAGTTAAAACCAGTTAAAGCAAAAACAAAAACAAAAACACAACCCAGAGCTGCCTAAACAAGTGTGCCTTCAGGGGCCTCCAGTATTTCAGCAGAGAGGACATTCAGCAACACTAGTGCCACCAGTGAAAAGACCCATCGCCACATTACTGCATCTCAGTAATCAGCAGATTGTGGTAAAACTAACTGGGTTCTATTAGCTGATCACAATGTCTTTACTTGAAAGTGAAGAGGAAGACGGTTTTTCAAGTCACATTGTCCAAAGTTGTTTAGGGTTTTTTATTTAAGTAGCAAAACTTTAAAACTCGCTCAGTGGGTTGTAGGCAACCAGTGCAGATCCCTCAGCACTGGTGTGATATGTGCCCAACAAGGTTCACCACTCACCACCTAGGCTGTGGCATTCTTCAACAGCTGCATGCAGCCTCTGGATCAACTGCAAGGGAAGCCCTACATAGAGCACATTACAACAGTCCAGACATGAAGTTAACAACACATATGTCACATTGGTCAGGATATTCCTGTCAAGCACAGTGTGCATTTGATGCACCAGCCAAAGCTGATGGTAGGCCTTCCTGGGCCCCCATGGGCAAAGATGGTTCAAAGACCACTCCTAAACTACGTGCCTGTTCTTTCAGAGGCAGTGCAGTCCCATTTAGAACAGGCAAACCCCCAATTCCCAGACCTGGGGACCACTTCCACAGTGTTCAAAATTAACCAGAATCCAGGCATGTTTTACTACTGGCATGGGTCCAATTGTGACCATGTGAAGATCTCTGGATGCCAGGTTAGCAACTAGGGAACGCAAAATGTCACTTAGAGAAGGATCTGAAATATTTTCCTTGAAGCTTGAATTTGTTTTATTTGATGTTTTAATGTGTTATAAACTCCTTTGAGATTTGTTCTTTAAAATGTAAAGCAGTATAGAAACAACAACAACAATTTCAATTGCAAAAACCCCCAAAAAGACCGTGTGCCTAGATATTCCATTGTGGTGACTGTAACCTAGATTTAAGATGTCATTTGGCTATTAGTCTATGTATCTGAATTTCCCACAGTGTCTCTCTTTTAGCAGATTTCAGTTTCAATTGATCCTCATCCACTCTACCACTACTTCTAGACACTAGTTAAGCTTATGCATGACCTCTCCTGACTCAGATTTAATGGGAAAGTAGAACTGATTATCATCAGCATCCTGATCACACAGTGCTCCAAATCTCCTGATGATGCTCCCAACAGATTCATATAGATGTTAAACAGCATTGACAGACTCATGCCTTGTGGCACCCACAGATAAAATGCCAAGATGTAGACTTGTAGTCCCCCAATGCTATTCTTTGGTACCAGTTATGTAGGAAAGACCCACAGAGACAACCCAGGAGAATACCATGGTCAATGTTATCAAAAGCCACTGAGAGATCCAACAGCAACAACAGGGTTGCACTCTCCTTGACTTCTTTTGAGTCATCTGCCATGGCGATCAGGGTTGATTCCATTCCAAACCCAGGCCTGAACCAAGACTGGAATTGGCCACCACCTTCTTGAGAACCTTACCCTCAAAACAGGTATTAGAGACTTGATGGCAGTTGTCAAATACCTCAGGATCCAAGAAGGCCTATTTCAGTAGCTGTCCTACCACCACCTCCTTCAAGGCAATTAGGAAAATCCCCCTCAGATTTGTTAGCTGCCAACTGGACCCACTCAGTCAACCTCTCTGACTTGCACAAACAATCTAGCATGGGCAAGGCTCAAGAGGGCAAGTGGTGGAGAAGGTGGCCACAAGCACCCTACCCACATCCTTAAGCCTCAATAGCTGGAACTAATCCCTCAGAACTGGATAAGATAGTACGTTGGACATTTCTTCAGAGACTATTTCAGCAGGGGAAAGATCAGTATGAAGGTGAACAATTTTGTCTTCAAAGTGCCTAGCAAACTTAATCACAGTAGGCATTTGATGGTTTGAATGTCCCATTGACTGGAACAGGTAGGACAAACTTTTTCACCACTTTAAAGAGCTCTGCTAGGTGGCTACTTGAGAATGCAATGGAGGCAGCAATGTGGACCTTGATGGGAAAGATTTCATTATGTAGGCTCCTTTTTTAGGACTAGCAGAAAACACATAAAGTAAGCAAAATAATCAGATATATGCTAAGTCTGGAGCCTCTTGAATCGTCAAACCAATTCCTGCTCCTCTTGGTTTAATAATAATCAAAGAGAAAATGAGTAAACTAGTAACATGTGTTGTTGATCTCAAGCATGACCACTGGCAAATAAATTAATGTGTAATGCCAGATGAATCAAGCTTATTCTCTCAATTCTTTTTCCTAGAGAGGAATAAAGTTCCATCAACAGAACCTCATTAGGTTGTGCAGCTTATACTAATTTGAGGAGCACATAGCTTGACAGTAAACATAAGAAGAGAAGACAGAAACCCAAACCAAAGCTGCCAATCTACATCATACAAGAAGTGAACTTTGACCTCTCATAAGAAGGATGGTGATTGTTTCAGGTGCAAGAAGAAAAATGGAAGCTTGTCTGCTTATAAACATCAATGTCAGGGCACATTCCCTAATGGGACACCTGCATGAGCGAGGAAAGAAAGGAAAAAAACCAATCATGTTTGTAAAAAATGGCAATGGCAAATGATAAGCTCCCATGTCTTTATTGCACAGTTGTCATCATCATCATCAGCTGCCTCCTTCAATAAAATTCCCAGGGCAACTGGTAAAATTTCAAAATACAATAAAAACAAGACACATACAGATTTAATATATGGATAAAATACTAAGAA